CTGTGCACACTCCTCTGTCTAACAGTCAGGGACCTTTCCTTTCAGGTAACATCCCCCCCCCCCCGCCCCGGGCCTCCCAGACAGGCCTTCTCTCTCCCTGAATGAAGATGCCATCCATGTGAAGCAATGTCCCGACTTCAGACACTATGAAACGTGCACCTACACTTGACTAAATATGGTCAGCCTTTAATGTGGGGCCGGCTAGCGAAGAAAACGTTTCATTGTGAATACCTCATCAAGTTGTAACTACTTGTATAACCAAGACACAATCAGTCTCATGTCTAAGGTGAGTTTGCAAACTGGGAAGGTGGGAGCTGATCGAGGAGCAACCCAGCTGTGCTGCCCCGGCAACCCTCATGCTCCCCTGTGCCTGCCACCAGAGGTCAGAGCCCGTCACTCTATCCTCCTTAAATGGTCAAGTGCACGCAGGAGCCTCCCTCAGCAGCTGGCTGCTCTGAAGCTCGGCAACGGGGACTGCTTTACCCGTTGACCTCAGACACACAGAGACGGTTCTCCCCTAAGCAAGTCACAGCGGCGTTTCTCAGCCTCTGTGCCAGGATCTGTCCCCCCTCTTTTTATACATTTCCCCCCGAGCGTCCCATCCCCCGGGGAACGAAAACCACAGGTCCACACACTGCCCATCTGTCCCTGCACCAGGGCCCTGTCAGTGTCCGGGCTGACCCGTCTTGCTCTGAATCTGAGTTTGGGGACATGTTCCGAAAGGCCGTCCTTTGGAAAATGCCTTACAGGTGAAGGAGGAGTGGCCAGGACAGAATGGGCCGCTGGGGAGGAAGGAAGGGGGCAGGTGCGGGAGGGGCAGGACAGGGGGACAAAGCCACCAGAGCACCTCAGGGGATACCTGCATCACTGAAGAGCCTATGACAGCTGACAGAGAGAGAGGGTGGCCGGGACACCACAGAGGAGACTCTTCAAGTGCCAGAATGACAGGTGTGTTAATCAGGGACAGGCTGCTAAACACTCCCCTCCCTCAGAGCGAATTTATGGGCTGGGTTTCAATGTTAGGTAAGTTTAAGACAGTTAATCCTGATAAAGGCGCATTGAGATGTGACAGCCAGAGACATACAGAACCGGGAAGGCGAAGACAGGAGGGCCAGGCTCCGCCCTCCTCCTGTGCACATCCTGACCCCCATGTTCCCGTAAAGGAGCTCCTGTCGCCCCCTTATCCACGGGCTCCCTTTCTTTGGTTTCAGTTATCCACGGTCAACCGGGGTCCGAAAACATTAAATGGAAAATTCCCCAACTAAATAATCCATCCTCTAAGCTATGAGCCGTCCTGAGTAGCACGGTACAATGTCACGCCAGCCCCGCTCTGACCTGCCGAGGAAGGGACAGCCCCCTGTGGACGCACCTGCCTGTGAGTCACTCGGCCATCTCTGCCACCATCGGGTCCCACCACTTTGGCGTGGCAGTGCCTGTGTACGAGTCACCATTTTACTGAAGGATGACCCAAAAGCACAAGCACAGTGATGCCAGCAGTTTGGATACAGCAGAGAGAAGCCGCACGCACATTGCTTCCTGCGAGCGAAAAGGTAGGTAAGGTGCGCACACAGGGAAAACCAGGGCACTGCGGGGTTTGGGACTATCCATGGCTTCCGACATCCATCGGGTGTCTTGGACCATATCCCCTGTGGGTAATGAGGGACTGCTGTATAAACCTTTACTGTGCTCATTGAGGCATCAAAACACTGTTGAGCACCTACTATGTGCCAGCCACAGCAGGCACTGGGGAAGGAAAGAGATGAATTGCTAGAGAAATGGACTTGGGGCACGGCCTCACAGAGAGGGCGAGATGTTGGGCGGGCCACGGTGAACCGATAAGATCGTCAGGGTGCACACTGGGCGAGGAGAAGGCCTTACTCCCGAAAGTGGTAACACCTGGAGACACAGAGACGGGAGGGGACGTACCATGACCGGGAGGGACACGCAGAGCGAACTACGCCTGCAGGCCAAGTCTGGCCCTTTTTCTGTATGTAGTTTTATGGACTGGTCTGGTTCCCGGCTGCCACCTGCCTCACTGTAGTGCAGGGGAGCTGAGAGATGGTGCTGGAGACTGAGACTAGCTGGCCCTCTGCAAAAGCTGGTGGACACCCGGTCCAGAGCCTTGTCACTCAGAGAGGCGTCTGCGAGGTGGGAGCACCTAGGGATCTGGCAGAAGCACAGACGCTTGGGTCCCACCCCAGACCCATGGAACTGGAACCTGCCTCTGGAGATCTTTACACCCAGAAAGCTCTCCTGCCACCGGCGTGTGGGGCTGGGAGGAGGCAGTGAGGCTGAAAACGCAGAAAAGCAGGTGCTTATCCTGTACAGAGTCGGGGGAAAGCAGTGAAGATTTTCCCATAAAGGAGCAGAGCCATCCACCCACGCTCCAGGAAGGCCCCTCAGTCACACCGTGACAGTCCGCAGAGCTGACAGCAGGAAGTGGCATCAGAATCCACGCAAAGACCCAGACGATGCAGGGGACATCGCCAGACGGCTCCTTCTTTCTTCCCAGGAGCAGATGACATTTTGAGACATGACTCCAATTTCACTAATGCTTCCGATTTGCTTCCAACAAATACAGCGTCAGTTATAATTTATTAGGAAACAGAAAAATACTTAGTAACGAAACACCAGGAATCGTGTGTTGCCGCACACCCTAAATGTATCTCCATCTAAGTAATGCTTCCGGATCTCAATGCATAAATTATGACAGTATCTGGATAAGGAGGAAGTTTAAAGATTAAATGAGGATCAACTCATCAGCTATCTATTATGTAGGCTGCTAGCACATCAGCTCACAAGATATTTAAAGGTGTGATGTCTTATGTTAGAATTTTTCCCCCAAAATAAATGCATGATTCTGCTTGATATTCACTTTTTCTGTATTTTGGATGAATAAGCAATCTAAAGTTAAAAAAAAACCAAAAACAAGAAAACCCACCAAAGCAGCATTTTAGACAACAAGCCAACACCACTCCTTCTCCTAACAGCTTCAGAGCAATTGCTTAACATTCTGCCTCCTTAACAACCCAGAGAAGTCCGGCAGGGGTGTCTCTGGGGTGCGGCACAGTTTAACGCAACGACGGCAACAGAGATAAGAACGGAGGAGCAAAAATGGGAACTTCCCTTTCTTCGGTGCTCAGGTTTCCTGCTTTACATTCACGCCACTGGCAGGAACAAGGCAAAGGAAGTAAGGCCTATATATCTGTTCTGAGCGATGAAACATAATTAAATCACTAAATCTCAAGGAAGAAAAGAACCTATCGAACCGCGTGTTGAGAAGAATCTCCGTGTTAAAATTCATTGATAAAGGCCGGAGGAAGTCCATGAATTCAGTACAGTAGTTAAGAGATAACCGTTAGTAACGCTTACAGAAGTTAATAACACTTCCCCAGGGTTTACACACTGTACTAAACCTCCCTGTAAGGACTATTTCCTTTAATCCTCAAAATACCCCGATACAGTGCTTTCTCATATGAGAAATGGGGATACTAAGGCACAGAGAAGTTAAGTGACTTGTCCAAGGTCACACAGCTGCATAAGAAGGGGAGCTATGGTTTGAAGCTGGGCCTGGACTCTGGGACCATGACTGTGGTAACCCTCTAATTAGCACCCTTCCTCCATTGTCCCTTTGTGCCCAGGTGAATCTGCAAAAACGATGAAATGCAGTAGGCTCTCACTGTTACTAACATCACAGACAAAGAAAATCCCCTATGATTTCAGGGATTTTAATGGGAAATCTTCATGGAAAGGTGGGGGGAACACCATACTGCCCTGTGGACAGTGGCCAAAATTTGACTTGTGATATAATGAAACAAAGGAATAATGAGGCAGATTTCTCAGTAGGATAAAATGCAAATGAAGTCCCAGTAAAATTCTGCAATGTATATCATGCAACTGCTTGTTAAGAGTAAGTACGGATGCAGACTTTTAATGCTAATCACTATGAATGCATTACTTTCTAGCTAAGATATCTGTGGAATACTACAGGGAATCTAAATCAAAATAAATGTTGGCACTGGCCTAATGCTACCTACCAGGCTACCATTCTCGTGTTGACTGTGCGTATCATTTAAGGAAGGGCCTGACTGTACACGGGCAGGAGAATTAAAGTAAAGTTGGTGCAAGCACCCACATGGCACATTCTTTGTTCCCAGAGCCCGACTCTATCAATACCCTTAGGAAAAAAGAGAAGCTCACTAAATAAATAATGCAAGTCCACAGACAGTGTGCAAGTCCTTCAAATTCCTCAAATTGTCAAACATCTTACACAAAGTTCTCTTCTCACTTTGAGCTCATTCTATTCCACTTGAACCACTGATTTTGCCAAAAATCAAGCTATTATTCCCTTTCAAATTTTTGAGTTTCAAAGTAAGACCCAGGTAAAACCTTGTATCCCATTTTAAACATTAATTTTGCCAAAGAACAAACCATTCCCTTTACGTTTTTAATAGCTTCAAAATAAGATCCAGATGAAGAAAGGGGGGGAAGGGCGGGGGGTAGCCCAGCGAGAGGAGAAGAGGCGGCAGGAACGATGGAGTGACAGAGTCACCTGAACTCCAGACCAAGTCACTCGGCGGTTCCAGGGTTTCCCATTTAACTTTCCCTATTTACAACAAGACGACACACCCTGGCGGCGGTGTTTTTGCAAATACACATCAGGGGACAGTTTGCGTTATTCACAGGGACGGACCACAAACAGAATTTGGGGGTTGCCCCTGCGACATTACAGGCAATTACTACTGCATGACACCTGGCTCTCTTTCGGGTTCGGCTGGTAAGGACAAAAGGAGCGACCATCCTGGAGCCCCACTCGGCTTCCCCTGCGGAGGCACCTCGGGCCACTGCAGACGCGCCCCGCCAGCCCCGCGCCTCCATCGCCAGCTGCCCGGCACACCGGCCGGGCGCGCGGCGGGGTGAGCGGCCTCCGGGGCGTGGGGAGCCGGCGGCCCGGCCGCTGGGCGCAGGAGCCGAGGCGCGTCCCGGCGGGGGGCACTCACCTTCTTCTTCCAACTCGAATTTCTCCAGCATGCCGGCTTCCGCGGGTCGGGGGGCCGCCGCCAGCGCCGCCTGAAGAGGAAGAGGACAGGGATCAGCATGCGCTTGGCGGCGCTCGTCCCCGCGCGGGGCGGGGGCGCGGGGACGCGGGAGTCGGGTAGTGGGGAGGGGCGGGGGCGGGCTCCGCGGCCCCGCCGAGCGCCGGGGCCTCACCCCGCGCCGCCGCGGGAGGAGGGGCCTCCGCGCGGACCTGACGGAACGGGACGCGGCGCGGCCCAGCCCCCCGGCCCGCCCTCGCCGAGCCCGCGCCCCTCCCCGAGTGGAACGGCCTGCCCTCCCCTGCCGGCGGCTTTGGTACCGACCGGCGGAGGAAAACGCGTGGGAAGAGGACCCCGGCGCGCGAGCGGCTGGCACATCCCCACTGGCCGCGGCCCTGGTCCCCTGTCCCGGCCGGGCCGCGCGGCCATTAGCGGAGGAGGCCCGCGTTCTCATCGCCGCCTCGCCCTCCCACCCCGCCGCGCACCACCGCTCACCTCCCTGCACCCACGGCCCGCGCGTTCCCGCGGGTTTAACCTGCGCAGGTGCGGCCTGGGCCAGCCCGGGGGTGGGGCGCGAGGGGCGCGCCGCGGGGGTGGGGTGGGGGCGGGGCGACGCGCGGAGCGGGGGGCGGGCCCAGGGGGGAAAGCTGGAGGGCCAGGGTGACTGCACTTCTTTTTTAAATTGTAGGTTAGACTGCCCATCCCCCTCGCGTACCAAAATGAATTACGCTCTGGGTCCCCGGTACCGTGCTTACACTTTGTGGTTGCCACTGTTACCAGCCACGGGAGTCTTAATTCGCTGCCTGTCCGACCACTCCCTTCTTTGGGTGGGCCGCTGCCAAAAGCTCGCACAAATCTAAACCTGGCCCTGGCCACTCTGTCGCCCTGCATCTGGTATCCGAGACTCTCCTATCGCCAGCTCAGGTTGGCAGGCAGCGCTGGCTGGCAGCCGAGCGCCAGCCGCCGGGGAGAGCAGCGCAGCCAGGCAGGGGACTGGCACCCACTCCCGAGGCTCTAATGTGTGACCGCCAGTTTCTGTCTCATCCCCAGGGGGCCCTCAGCTCAGACCCCAGTGCAAGGGCCCTGATAATGAGCCTAGCTCCCCGGTGCCGATTGGGGCTGTCAGGGGCCCCTGGCCTCTGGATAGGAACTCGGTTTTATCGCGCTAGCAAACCCAGCCGGGGGAGAAGGAAGTACTGAAATCTCCTGTGGGCTTTCTTTTTGCTCCGTCATCTCAGTCGGGCCAAACCCTAAGTCTTAAGCTTCTTCTTAAACAGAAGCGGGTGGCGAGGTAGGAGGAAGAAAAAAAGGACAAAATACATTTTGCCTGAGGACTGATGGTAAAAAACTACAGCTGTGTCATGCTTAGCAGCCAAAGACTGCATGTGTTCCTTCTAAGTTCAGGGAATACAGCAAGGGTGTCTGCTTTCTATCCTTTTTCAACATAGTACTGGAAGTTCCAGCTGCTGCAATAAAGCAAGAAAAATTAATAGCAGGCACACAGATTGCAAAGAAGGACACAAAACCATCCCTATTTGCAGATGACGTGGTTTTCTGCACAGAACGTCCCAAGGAATCTAAAAGTGAACGAATAAACAAACCAGAAAAGGCCCCAAACTGGAACTAGTGAGTTCCGTGTGTGATACCAGATCAACACACAAAAATCAATCTCATTTCTATATAGTAGCAATGAACATGTAGAAAACTGATACTCAAAACAATATTATCCCTGGCTGGTGTGGCTTGGTGGATTGAGCTTGGGCCTATGAACCAAAGAGTCGCTGGTTCGATTCCCAGTGGGGGCACATGCCTGGGTTGCAGGCCAGGACCCTGGTGGGGGGTGCATGAGAGGCAACCACACACTGATGTTTCTCTTCCTCTCTTTCTCCTTCCCTTCACCTGTGTCTAAAAATAAGTAAATAAGCCCTGGCTGGCGTAGCTCAGTGGATTGAGCACGGGCCTGCGAACCAAAGAGTCGCTGGTTCGATTCCCAGTCAGGGCACATGCCTGGGTTGCAGGCCAGTTCCCTGCAGGGGATGCATGAGAGGCAACCACACATTGATGTTTCTCTCCCTCTCTCCTTCCCTTCCCCTCTAAAGATAAATAAAATCTTTTTAAAAAATAAAATAATAAAATAAATAAAAATAAGTAAATAAAAAATTTTAAAAACTATACAATTTGCTGCAAAGGAAATTAAATACTTAGTGAGATACTGAAGGAAACGTTAAGACCTGTAGGCTGAAAGTGACAGAAGGCGGATGCAATAGAGAGAGACCTAAACAAACTCAGAGGCACTGCACGTTTGGGGACTGACTGGAAGACCCAACATAGTGAGGGTGTCAGTTCACCCCCAAACTGACCTCGAGGTTTCATGCAAATCCTATTGAAATTCCGATCCGTTTTTCTTTTTTTTTTCTTTTGACAAGCTTAGTTGAACGTTTATAAGGAGACACTCGGGTTCTAGAATAGCTAAAGCCGTCTTGAAAACGAAGAACGAGGGCGGAGAACTCACTCGACACAGAAGCTTTACCCCGGAGCTGCAGCAATCGGGACTGTGCGTGCTGCGCGGGATGTCACTTCCACCACGTGGAGTTTAAAGAACAGAGTCAATGAGCAAAACAGAAACAGACTCGTAGACACAGAGAGCAGCCTGATGGTTGCCAGAGGGGTGGAGGGGTGGGGGCTGGGTGGAAAAGGGGGAAGGGTTGAGAAGCACAGACTGGCAGTTACAGAACAGTCACAGGGGCGTGAAGTCCAGCAGTGGAATAGGGTCGGTAGTACTGTGATAACCGTGGATGGGGCCAGGTGAGCACTGGAAACATCGGGGAGAACGCTTGGCCCTGGAGAACAGAAGCGGGTGGCGAGGTAGGAGGAAGAAAAAAAGGACAAAATACATTTTGTCAGAGGACTGATGGTAAAAAACTACAGCTGTGTCATGCTTAGCAGCCAAAGACTGCATGTGTTCCTTCTAAGTTCAGGGAATACAGCAAGGGTGTCTGCTTTCTATCCTTTTTCAACATAATACTGGAAGTTCCAGCTGCTGCAATAAAGCAAGAAAAATTAATAGCAGGCACACAGATTGCAAAGAAGGACACAAGACCTATGTGAATGTTGAACCACCATGCTGCACATCGGAAACTAATACAAAATAACACTGAATGTAAAGTGTAATTGAAAGATGAGATAAAAAAAGACTATGGAGTACGGGCAGAGGGACGGGCACACGATCAATCGAGACAGAGAATCTGACCCACACATGTGTGTCCAGCTGATGTCTACAAAGGTGAAAAAGCCGTGGTGCTCGAGCAACTGGACACCGATGGGCAACAAAACGTGCCTCAGCGTAGGCCTCCCACCCTCTGTGAAAATGAGCTCCAGTGGGATCCTGGACGTAAAGGTAAAATGGAACTTTCAGGAAAAAGTCGGGTAATGTCTTCGGGACCCATTGTCAGGCAAGAGATTTCACCTCAAAAGCATGAGCCAAACACAGAAAAATTAATATGTGGGACCTCGTTAACGTGAAAACGTTTGCTCTGTGACACTCGGAGAAGAGGATGAACGGATAAGCCGCAGAACTCACGAAAATACTTGCACGCCACAGAGCAAAAGGCTGGTGTCTGGGATGTGCGAGGAACTCTCAAAACTCAGCAGTCGGGCAAAAATCCAGTTAGATCGCGGGCAAAAGATGTGAAGAGACACTTCATGGAAAAACACACACAGGGCAGATGAGCACATGTAAAGATGCTCAACATCATTAGCCAGTAGGGAAATGCACATTAACATCACACTAAGTGATCACTATCCACCTATCAGAAGGGCCCAGATAAAAATGGTCCATGCTGCTGCGGATGCAGAACAACCATCATGCCTTGCCTTGCTGTGGGGATGCAAAGTCAGACTCCGGCTCTGGAAGGACAATGTGATGGTTTCTTATGAAACTACACCTGCAACTGTGACATGACACAGCAATTGCACACTTGGGTATTTATCCCAGATAACATGAAAAAAGTACGTTTACACGAACACCTGTGTACAAATATTCCCAGCAGCTTTGCTTGTAAGGGCCCAGCCTGCAAATAACAGATGCCACTCATCGAGTGAATGGTTAAGCAAACCACAGTCATGCATCACTTAACGATGGGGATGCCTTCTGGGAAATGCGTCATTCGGTGAGGACATCACGGTGTGAATGCCACGGTGTGCACTTCCACGGACCTGGATGGCACAGCCCACGGCACACCTGGCTGTACAGCACAGCCCGCGGCCCATGGGCCACAGGACTGCACCCCAAGCTGCTGCAGTACAGAAGGGAGGCAGCTGTAACTCACGGGCGAGTGCTTGTGTATCTGAACACAGAAGAGGCCCAGGGAGGGGCACAGGAGACCGAAAACGCTATCTCTGTACAGAGCACTTACCAGGAATGCAACTCACATCTGTATGTTTTTCTGGAGGCTGCTCTGGGTGTGTCAGGGAGTGAGTGGTGAGTGGCCGTGAAGGCCCAGGACACTGCTGTGCTCTACCATAGACGTTACCAACACTGTAATGCAGCCCATACTAAATTTATAGAGTCATATTTTCTTCAATAATAAATTAACCTTAGTTTACGGTAACTTTTTTCAAAAGATTTTATTTATTTAATTTTAGAGAGATGGGAAGGGAGGGAGAAAGAGAGGGAGAGAAACATCAATGTGTGGTTGCCCCTCATGTGCCCCCAACTGGGGGCCTGGCCCACAACCCGGGCACGTGCCCTGACTGGGAATCGAACCAGTGACCCTTGGGTTCACAGGCCCACACTCAATCCACTAAGCCATACCAGCCAGATACTGTAACATTTTCAACAAAAAAAATTTTAAATACTTTGACTCTTGTAATAACGCTTAGCTTAAAACACAAATATTTTACACAGCTGTACAAAATCATTTTCTTTATGTTTTATGCTGTTTTTTCTATTTTATTTTTTTTAAATTTTTTTACCTATTTTATTTTTTATTTTTATTTTTTAATTTTTTATAGATTATGCTGTTACACTTGTTT